TTGTCCTTTTGCTGGCTTATCATTCTTTATGACCTGTAAATACTAATCTTCCCAAATGCTCAATCCTGGGCCCTGCCCTGTCCTCTTATCTGCCCTTTTCTCTAGTTATATTTTCTCCCTAGGTGATCTCATGCAGTCCTATAGCTTTAAATATCACTTGTATACTAAGGACTCCAAAATCTATATCTCCTTATGAGCATTCCTCTAAATTCCTGACTGGTATTTTGAACTGCTCACTTGATATCTCCATTTGAATGTCTAGCAGCATTCTCTGCCTTAATATGTTCAAAGCAGAATTATTAATCCCACATCCCCTTAATCTATTTCTCCTCCAGTCTCCACCAATTGCCCAGTTGCGGAGGTAAAAAATTTAGGATTCCTCTTTGATTTCTTTCTTTCTCTCACTCCCCACATCCAAACCATCAGCAATATTCACAGACTAGTGTGTATCTCTCTGCACCTTTTTCATTGTTCAGATATACTTACACAAGCACTTAGATTAATATGCATATATATGGCTTTTGGTTTAACTGAAATAGACTCCAACTACATATTACTGTGGAACTTACTTTTTTCAATTGACATCCCTGTAAGTCAGTAGATACAGATTCAACTCTTTTTTTCCTTCTAATTTCTTAATGGATCTCTAAACATATACAAACATCTGTAGTTTTATATGTATATATATACATGGGATCACAATATATTTACTGGGGTGTGGTGGTAGTACATTTTCCTTATTTTTTTTTCTCTCACTTCCTCCTTCCTTCATTCCTCCCAACGCCCAAATCAAGATAATCCAACTAAATGGTATATATCTGCTCCTCTCTCCATACTCATAAAATCAAATAAACATATGCATATATATGTACGTTTACGTGTAAGTCTAAGCATCTTGCTGGTTTCCCACTCAACAAACCTAAAACCTTGTGAAAATTCCTCCAGAACACCTCGTATAGTGAAAATTCATTCTTTTTAATGACAGTGTAATATTCCTTGTATGGACATTCCAAAATGTATTCATCCACTCCCTTATTTATGAGCATTCACTTTATCTCCCTCAATACAAATAATGATACAATTAATACCTCTGTACATTTAGTCTACGTACAAGTGCTTTTATTTCTATGAACTAGAATTTCAGAAACAGAATTTGCTGGGTCAAAGGATACATGCACACAGTTTTCATTAAATAGCAAATAAACATTAATCATGCATAGGGTAGACAAAATAACAGTAAAACAAATATCTATACACTTACCACCCAGTTTAATAGAACTTTACCTGTTCTCTGAAGCCTCCCGTGTGCCCCATATGATCCCTTTCCTCCTTTAGAAAAAAAATTATCCTGAATTTTTTCTTTACTTTTCCCTTGCTTTCTTGAGTTTTGCCACATTTAATTCCCTACACAATCCGTTGTTTGACTTGTAAAACTTCATATAAGTAGAAAAAAATGACATATTCTTTCACACCCTTTTTTCCTGCTCAGTATTATGTTCCTGAGATTTAACCATTTTGATAAGTGTAGCTGAAAAGCTCATTCATTTTCAGTGTTGTTTAATCATCCACGATATATACTACAGTTGATGGACATTTGCCAATACTGCTATGAACATTCCTGAACATGGCCTTTGGTGTAAACGTGCAAGAGTTTGTTTAGTTTGCATATCTAAGAGTGTAACTGTTGGATTGTAGGGTATGCCCATATTCAACTTTACTAGGTAATGCCAAATTGTTTTCCAATTAACACTCCCACCATCTGTGTATTGTGCCTGATTTCCCTGAAACATCTTTTCGTGTTTCTGGGCCATTAATTTTTCCTCTTCTGTGATATGTCAATTTAAAAAATTAGGTTGTCTTTTTCTATTAATTCGCATGAGTTCTTTATATATTTTAGATCAGTGCTGTCCAACAGAAATAAAATGCAGGTCACAAATGTAATTTAACATGTTCTAGTAGCCCCATTTAAAAAAGTGAAAAGAAACAGGCAAAATGAATTTTAATAATATTTTTTACTTAATAATACAATTTACTTAACCAAGATAGCATTTCAACAGATAATCACTAAAAATCTTTTTGTACTAACTCTTTAAAATCTGGTGTGTATTTTATACTTACAGCACATCTTAATTTGGCCTACCTACACTTTTAAGTACTCAACAACCACATGCGATTAGTAGCTACTGTACTGGACAGCATAGCTCTAGATACTTTGTTGTTGTTGTTAGTTACGTGTGTTGCAGATCTTTCCTTCCAGTTTACGATTTTTCCTTTCACTTTCTGTTTTTTGATGACAAAGTTTCAAGGGAGTTGAATTTTGCCTTATTTGGTTTGCACTTTGAATTTTAAGAACATTTCCCTTATCACAAGGGCATGTGCCAAAGATAGTGTATTATTCTATATTTATTCTAAACCTTTTCAAGTTTCGCCTTTTATATTGAAGTCTTTAATCCATCTGGAATTGACTTTTAGGTAAAAAATGAAGTAAGGATCCATTTCTACTTTCTTTCCAGATGAATAACCAATGGGATAACCTAGCTCCAACATTTTGGTGTTGACGTTGTTTTGTAAATTGTATGTTTTATTTATTTGCACTTTCTACCTTCTAACTCCTGGCTGGACTATGGAAATACAGTTGATGTTTTTATCTGGCGAACTCAAAAAATTGTCTTTAATCCTAAATATTCTGGAAATTATTTTGGGTTTTCTCAGTAAACAATCATATCATCTGAGTGAGGATCATTCCCACCTTATAGAGGCTGCCACATTCCTTGGCTCATGGCCCCTTTCCCTCATCCTTCCATTTCCTTCCATCCAGCAACAGGGAGGTTGAGTCCTCGTCTTTGTCCTTCTGCATCTCTCTGACCAACTCCTTTGCCTTCCTCTTCCATTTTTAAGGATTTGTGATTTGATTGGGCCCGCATAATCCAGGATAACCTCCCCATCCCAAGGTCTATAACTCAGTCCCATCACAGTCCCTTTTGCCATGTAAAGTAACATACAGGTTCTAGGGAGTAGGGAGTGGACATCTTTGGGAGCTATTATTCTGTCTACCATACCATCATAATTTGTTAATATGGTGAATTACATGAAAAATTTGCAGTATTAAACCCAAACTTTCATTCCTGAAATAAACTCAACTTGATCATGATTTTTACATTTTTAACAAATTGCTGGATTTGCTTTAATAGCATTTTGTTCAAGATTATTGCATTGCTGTTCAAGAATGAGAAGAGCTTATAATTTACCTTTCTTGTCCTGTCCTTGACTGTCTGGGTCTGTTTGTCCTTCCATCCATCTATCTCTTCCTCCCTCCCTTTTTTTGAGGGAAAATTGACTACTGATTCATTTTTTAACGGTTCTAGGACCAAACAGGTTTTCTATTTCTCACTGAGTCAATTTTGCTAATTTGTATTGTCTAAAAAGTTGTCTAAGTTGATCTAAGTATTCAAATTTATCAGCATCAAATTGTTCATTTTTTTGTTAATTTTATAATTTCTTCAGTTTCCACAGTTTTGTCCCTCTTTTCATTCCTTATTTGTATCTTATATTTTTTCTCTAATTTACCAGAAGTTGGTCAACAGACTTTTAAAAGAACCAATTCTTGGCTTTGTGCATCTTTTCCATTGTATGCCTTTTCTTTCTTTCATTAATTTTGTACTTTCATCTTTATTATTTCTTCTACTTTAGTTCTTAAGTTTGATATGTAATTTGATGGTTTTGTCTTTTTCTTCTCTAATGTAAATATTTAAATACCTAAATTTCCCTCTAATTACTGCTTTGGCTATCTTCTACAATTTTGCTACTTAGTTATTTCATTATTCTTTAGTTCCAATTATGTTGTGATTCCTTTATGATTTTTTCCTGACCAATGAGTTATTTACCAACGTGCTTTTGAGTTCCAAATGTGTTTTTCCCCCCAGTTAGTGATTTCTAACTTAATTGCATGGTGGTAAGAGAATGTGATCTATATAACATCAATCATTTGAAATTTGTTGAGAATTACTACATGGATTTATATGTGGGCAATTTTCATAAACATTCTACACATGCATTAGATGGATGTGAATCCTCTGTTGAGTGCAACACTTTATATATGTCTAATAATTCAATCTTATTAATTATGTTGCTCATATCTTCTGATTCTTATTTGCAAGATCTATCCATTATTTTGAGGTGTGTCAAAATCTCCACTACCATGGTAAATTTATCCATTTTTCCTTGCAATTGTCAAATTTTGCTTTTTATATTTTAAAGATATGTGATTAGGTGCATACATGTTTAGAATTCCAACGTCCTAGGATCCTGAACTTTCTATCATATTTAGTAACCTTTATTTATTTTTAGTTTTATGTTAACATAGCTCGACCAGCTTTCTACTGTTATATTAGCCTGACATATTTTTCCATCCTTTTTTTTTTGAAGATTAGCCCTGAGCTAACTGCTGCCAATCCTCCTCTTTTTGCTAAGGAAGACTGGCCCTGAGCTAACATCTGTGCCCAACTTCGTCCACTTTATATGTGGGACACCTACCACAGCATGGCTTGCCAAGCAGTGCCATGTCTGCATCCGGGATCCGAACCGGTGAACCGCAGGCCACCAAAGCCGAATGTGTGCACTTAACTGCTGGGCCACCAGGCGGGCCCCATCCTTTTTTTAAACTAATTTTTTGTTATGTAAATATTTCCCCCAGTCTTTTAATTTAATTTGTAATATTGCACTGTAGGAAGTTTTTAAAAATTTATTTTTATTTTTTTTATTGAGGTCATATTGGGTTTTAACATTGTGTAAATTTCAGGTGTACATTATTATATTTTAGTTTCTATATAGATTGCATTTTTTCCATCCTTTTAAAGCTTTCTGTGTTCTTGGTTTTAAGAATGTCTCAAAAATAGCATACATTTGGATTTTACTTTCTTGTCCACTTTACATTCTTTTTTTTTAAACTGGAGAGTTTATTCCACTTACATTTACTGCAATTACTGAAATATCTACATTTATTTTTTACCATATTATTACTTGGGATTTCTATTTGTTTCACTATTTCTTTGTTTCTTTTCTCTATCTTCACATCTTGCTCTTTTTTAAATTCTATTTTCTCCCTCTATTAATTCAGAAATTATATCCTCTTTTAGTAGTCACCCAAGTTATTTTAACTTGTACACTTAAAAGAGTAAAGCTTATCAATATTTTCACCCTTTTCCCAAACAAGATAAGGATCTTGGAAAACTTCAACTCCAATCATCACCCCACCCATCCTACTTCCAAATTATGACTTTGTTGCCCAGGATATTAGTTCTATATTGGTTTACTTTATTAACCACACAAATTATGTACTATTATTACTTTCTATGGTAAATATTTTTTAGTTTCAACCACTTATTTACTAATTTCTTTGCTCAACATTCCTTCTTGCATCAGGGATTATTTTCTGTTGGTAAACTCAAGATTTTTTTTGTCTGAAAATGTCTTATATCAGATAACCAGGTTCAAATACTGGCTCTACCACTCCTTAGTCATGTAACCCTAGATTACCTTAACCTCTGGGATCTTTGGTTTATTCACCTGTAAAACTGAGGTAATCTTGAGCAGTTTCATCCTCTGCTGGGAGAGACGAGGCTGAAAGAGAAGATGCAATAAGAAGCTCCACAGAGGGGCTGGCCCTGTGGCCGAGTGGTTAAGTTTGTGTACGCCACTTCGGAGGCCCAGGGTTTCGCCGGTTGGGATCCTGAGCGTGGACCTGGCACTGCTCATCAAGCCATGCTGAGGTGGCGTCCAGCTGAGGCAGAACCAGCAGGATCTACAACCACGATATTACAACTGTTTGCTGGGGGGCTTTGGGGATAAGAAGAAGAAAAAAAACATGAATAAAAATCAATTGTAATCACACCTTCCCCCCCCCCCCCAAGAAATTCCAGGCCAAAGAGTGTAATAGATTTATGTGGAACAGTTAAAATAACCATTATTCTAAATCATGCTGCATTTCCTTTGTATACTAATTAAATCTAAAGTAACTTTCAATTCTGTTGAGCCTCGTGTATCTATATAACTTTATAAGGTAACTAATTTTTATTACATGGCTATTAGTTTACATGTACTAGATACTTTCTCAGACATTATCGCATTTTATGCCCCCTAAATGCTAAGATGTTGGTTATACATATTTCTATCCTTCAGAGTAGTAAATACACACTTAAACCACTTGATCCAAGTCTTTCATTTGTAGAGTAATACACTTTATTTTGAGAACCATCTTTTTCATTATATTTTTAATTAATGGAAAGGAATTAGTTTCAGTTAAAACAGAATGTGTTGATCTATTAAAACTAATCAGTGAATCACCATCAAAAAATTGTATATAACAGCTTATAGATACCCAAATCATGTTTCTATTATAATGCTAGGATGGACATGTTTGTATTCACGATTTTATGGTTAATATACAATTACAGTAACAGTCAATTTTGGTTTCCTAGAGAACAAATGAAGAAAAATACATTTTTGGAATATGTAACATAGACTATTCATTCCTCTATTCAAAAGAACACTGGAGGAAAAAAGAACTGATGATAAGGATCATTAACCATGGAATAGATTCAAGACAATATTTAAATAATCAAGGAAATTGACTAAGTGTCTACAAATTGTTGTGATCTTCATAAGCCTTGTACTGGCAAGCCTCAACTTTCAAACATTTGATCTTGATATAACCCAGCCTTGTGTATATTATTCAGGTTTATTCCCAAACTGCCTCTGATACTAAATTCAACCTTTCATACATCAGTAGACCATTATTAAACACAGGCTGTAGGCACCGGGAATGGGTGTGACTCTGCCAAGGTGAGGGTGTTTGTGGGAGCACATGAGTAGAGATAGAGTCCCACACTGCCGTGCTCATACTGCCTACACTGGGCTTGTTGCCACTGTCAACTCTGTCCCCTCTTGGCAAAGCAAGGAACTTTGAGGAGTCCTAGGACTGAAGCCCTGGGGCTTGCTTGTCCCTTCTAAGTTGTCATCTCTTGAGGAGCACAACCAGTCCTGTGACAATCCTCACTTGGGGGAAGGATTTGCCGAAGGAAGAATGGATGGGAAGAGGCAAGAGTAAGTGTGCAGGGGTAGCTTTCCCACTCACCTCCACCTGTGGTTCAAGGGGGAATGACCTTTTCATTCTCTCCTAGAGCTTTAGCCAGGTTCCCATTTGAGGCAGCAAAACTCTGGCCTGGGCGCATTGAAAAAAGGCACCACCCAGTGGCACCTCACTGCCGGTGTTGTATCAGTCCTAAGAACAGTCTTGTCAAAATAATACCTCAAAAATTTTGTTTACCAATAGTAGTTTTGGAGAATGTGCTCAAGGGATCAACTGGTGCTCTTCCACTGGCCCTCAACTACATTTTTCCTTTTCCCACCCCTTTACCAGGTACCTGGAGCCTAAACGTGGGCAATGTGCTGGCTACCCTGGGGTCGGTCCCCTGGGATGCTGGTGGTGTGGGCTAACAGGAGGCAGTAATGGCAGGAGCAAATATGAAGTTTTCTACGGTTTTTAGCACTCTAGGAATGGAATGCCTCTTACACTATGTTTCACCTTGGGACTTTTGACATTCTTCCTTCAAACAAATTTGCAAAAGACTTTATGTAAGAAAGTAGGAGACAGTCAGTATCTAATAATTATAGGCTAAAGACCAGCTTCTTCCAAAGCTTTGATCAAGAGGCCAGGCCTAAGTATGTGTTCCCAAGGCTGCATTCACTTTGAATTGAAAACATGTGTACAAAGAACCCCTAGTGCCAAAATAGATAATGACATTTAATAAGTACTCAATCTTCCAACAATCTTGCCTGTAAAAACTTGGTTCATTTATTTACGCTCGGGGCTTAGAATTTCCCACTGACCCCCACAGCTCCACATGCTTACTGCATTGGGTTCCAAACAGACTAATGCTCTCTCTTAAGATCAGGTATTATAGAGACCAGCTGCACCTTCTGTAAGAGCATTACTTACTTTGTTATTAAGGAAATAGGAAATCTGTACCTGACTGCCTTTTTCTCATTCACTTCAGTTTAGAGCCTTTTCGTCACATATTTACACTGTTTCAGCCACCTCCACCTAAAATTAAGTCTTTTCCTATCTGTACAATGTCAGGTGGCTCCCAACGGCCTATGTGGCATCTAAGGCACAGGGCCCCAATCTATCCTCTCAAAGCCAGAAAGATAAGACTTACTGGATACTTACTCAGTGAGAGGCATTGTGCAAGCAAGTTTCATACATTTTAGTTGAATAATCACAACATTCTATGTGTAGTGGATAATAACCCTATTTTACAGATGAGGCACTGGAAGCATGAAAAGTAACCATGCCCAATGTCACATAGCTAGAAAGTGGAAGGGCTGGTATACAACGCCAGGTAGCTCTTAACCACTGCACCATAATGTTTAGAAAAGTGCTGACATTTATTGAAGGTTTCAGGTTTTACAAATATCATGTCATTGAATCCTCACAAAAGTGAGAGAACTTGTCCACATTAACACTCTCATCCTACAATGAGAAAAAGCACAGAGAAATGAGGTAACCTTCATGGCCTGTAGAGAAGGGGTCATGGGAGACTTGAACCTAGGGAGTCAAATGGGCCCTGGACCTGGATGCTATGCCTAAAGGTACCAGCAAAAAACTGCCAAAATAATCTCCAAGTGACTCTGATGATAAAACACTAATAGGCACTGCCAGCATAAATACATACATCCATACACACAGACATAGAGCATAGAAAAAAGAGCTGGTAAAGGACGTCTCCTCTCTTAGATCACATTTCAGTTATTAGGACAAATACTTAGTTTGGCTGCTGTAACAGAATACCATAGACTGGGTGGCTATAAACAATAGAAATTTATTTCTCACAGTTCTGGAGGCTGGAAGTCTAAGACCAGGGTGCCACCCTGGCTGAGTTCTAGTTAGGGCTCTCTTCTGGGCTGCAGACTGCCGCTTTCTCATCGTATCCTCACGTGGCAGACACGGAAGGAGCTCAGTGGGACCGCTTTTATAAGGGCACGAATCCCATTCATGGGGCTCCACTCTCACGACCTCATCACCTCCCAAAGAACCTACCTCCTAATACCATCTCCTCGGGGCTTGGGATTTCAATATATGAATTTGTAGGGGGTGGGTACACAAAGCGGGGTACACATTCAGTCCATAACACATTCCTCCAATTGTGTGCTGGTAAAATCCAATTCCAAATTATAGTGGGGAAAAAAACCCACAAAAAAGCTGATCCTGAGCCCCCAATTTCAAAATGATCAACTGCCATAAACTCTTCAACGTCCTGAGAGTTTAGCTAGCAGTTTTAACGCGTTCTCGCTTCTTCCAAAAACAACTAAAAACCCTTTCAAGTTATCCTACTTAATCCCACCTTGTCATTTTTTGCAGGAAAGTGATTAATAACTTTTTTTTAAAGGACATTTCCTCCAAGGCCTTAAGAATCAGGCAGAAGACGGGAGCGGTAGCCTTGCAGATTTGGGGGTGGGGGCGGAAGACAGAAGACGCAGCGAGCGGCGGGAGGGAGGAGGGGGCGCCCCGGGAGCTTGGCCTGAGAGCGAGACCCGACCCTGGCTCCGTTTCCATTCTTGTTGAGGGGGCGAGATGAAGAGGCAAGCGGAGAGAGAGCGAGAAGGAGGAATAAAGGGGAGAGGCGAGGCAAGGGAGGAACGGCGACCGCGTTACCTCAGAGCCGGGAGGCCGGGGGAGGGGCCCTTGGTGCCCCTGCGGTCTCCAGGGCTCCGGAAGGACAGGTCTTCGAGGGCGGCGGGGCAGTGAGGCTAGGGTCCCGGCGGGCTCGAGCTGTTCCCCCGACGTCTCCTGCAAACACTCCGGGGCAGGCCGGGTCACGCCTCAGCCCCTGGCCACCTCGGGGGGCCCGAGGGAGGGGTCGCGGCGGTGCCACTCTAGGTCCCGGGCCGGCCCACAGTGCTCGGGCCCGGAGCTTATTGTTCCAGGAAGTCGCAGGCAGGGTCGGGCCCGGCCGCTGGCAGGCTGCGCCCAGCCCCGCCCGCCCCGGCCTGGGGTGGACCGGCAGCTGCGGGCGCGCCGACTGGCGGCAGACGCGCGGCCCCTGCGTGTCTCTTTAAGGGGCAGGGCCTGTGCGGCGGAGGGGCGGGCGGGGTGCGCGTCGCTCCCCGTGAGAGTGTGTGGGGGAGAGAGCGGCAGGCGGGCGCCGAAGGGAGGGAGGGAGGGAGCAAGCGAGCGAGCCAGCGACGCGGGCCGCCCCTGCCGCCGCCGCCGCGGTCGGACCAGCGGCCTCCTCCCCTCCCCTCCCCTCCCCTCCTTCGCGTCGCCCTGCTGCGGGGAGGGGGCTCGCGTCGCCGCCTCCAGCCGCTCCCGATGAAGCAGCTGCCGCCGCAGCCGCCTCCGAAGATGGGGGATTTCTACGACCCCGAGCACCCGACCCCTGAGTAAGTATCAGCTCCGCGGCCTCCCGCTGCCGGCGGCCGCCTCAGCCCGAGCCGAGGGCGGCGCGTCCTGACGGGTAGCGGCGCGGGCCGGCGCGAGGAGTAACGGGCCCGCGGGGCACTCGCGCGTGCGGCCTCGGGAGCAGGCCCGCACCGCCGCCTCGCCCGGGCCGCCGCGGGCCGGCGGTTGGGCCCGGCGTTGGCGCCGCTGCTCGCGTCGCAGCGGCGGTTGGGCCGGGCCGGTGGGGGAGGGGCGGCCACGGCCTCCGCCGCCGCCGCCGCGTTCGCACCGACCCGGCCGGCCCGAGGCTCGGCGGTCTCCTCCGGCTCTCCGCGGCCCGCGCAGGCCGCGCTGCACGCGAAGGGCCCGCGTCAGAGAGGCTGCCGGAGCCGGACTCGGCGAGAGGGCACCGGCGAGGGGTAGGCCGCGAATCCCCGCGCTCGGGTGGAAGCCCGGCCCGTTGCCCGGCCTCCCGGCGACGGCGGCTCAGACCGGAAGGGCCTAGCGCGCGTCGCTCGGCCCAGGGCCACGGAGGGGCCCGCGCTGCGCTCTTGGGTTTGATTTTTTCTCCTGGAACTCGATCCTGGCCTTGTAGTGCTTCCGGCTTCAGATGCTGCACCTTTGGCACTTTGGTTTTGTAATGGTGGCGAGGTTTGTGTGGCCCCAGTGTTGAGGTGACACCGGGTTTGTTTTTCCGCCCGAAAATGAAAGACTTCAGAGGGGCATACATTCTCTTCCAGATTGTGAGATTTGCACACTTTCGGACACTCTACTTCCTCAGTAACAGGAACCTCTTACCCTAAATGGATGACTTTCTACTCCTTGTGAAGACTTAGCTAAAACCCCAGAATTCTTTGAAGATTCTCTAAAGAGACAGTGTTCTAGAAAACCGAAATAGACTTTTGCCCAGTAGTATTTTTTTCAGTCTAGGACGTTTTTACTTCTCTCTTGAGGGCTGTGTCTGCGACTGTACCTGACACCTCAGAGAGCTTCCACTCCAGAGCCTGGATTCACTTCTTTCCCTGCACCCTCCCAAGGCTGTTGTTGTATAAAGCTGTTCTTAAACTCCATTTGCTGGTGTTGGTTGAAGTCTAGACCTACGAGTATACGATTCATTTCAAACTTAACGGTTGATAGCAATTTCAAATGAAACTGTCACTTTTATGGCCAGAATGATTCGCTCTTTTAACACATTTTATCTTAGTCCTGCTATGGCCCTTTTTTTGAACCCTTTGCCAGATCTTCTCACCTTGGTCCAGAAAAGTCTAGATCTTAACTTGATAGTCCTTAGATTCGATTGCATCACAGAAGGGTTCTGTTGGCTTGTTGATGGTTCTCTGTGCACAAAGGGAGAAATAATTATTCTGCCTTTCTAGAACAAAACCCAGCTCTGACTTGCAGTAGTAAGTTGTGTCAGCATGGTTTTAATCCTTTCATGGGTTCTTGCTTGTAGGTTAATATTAGCTTAATTAGGTTGTTTTTATTTACTGCTCAATCATCAGTCTAATTAACAAGCTCAGGTTTTTTCACTTTGAGACTTGGAAACTCTCAAAAAAAAAAAATTCTGTATCATAGTCCAGTAAAGGCTTATTGAGCACTTGTCTTGTACAAAATAACATGTCAGCCCCTGAATGGGCTAAGTGCCTGCTTTCAGTTCCTTTTATCAGGTTGTTTGGTGAAGTCTAGAAGCTTTAAGGATCATATCCTTTCACTTCTCGGGGGAAAACATAATTTTTCGTACTCTGTGGGAAAATGAACTCAAAAGTGCATCTTTGATGGCCCTGACGAAGGAGGAATCTAATGTTTTATTTTTACACAAGATCTTCGAGTTTTTTATCTTCACTGCTTTTCTGTCTCTCTTGCTCTGGATTTCTAACAGTGACTAAGTTCTGAAATACATATCTGGGTGGGGTTGGTGTGTATTAACCTGTGTGGAGTATATAAAGAATTATAAAATGTTTCCTGTCATAGTATAAGAACTGGAGGAGATCTTGGTAGGCGTCCTGAACAATATCGCTTGTTTTACAGATGCAAAAACTGAAGCCTAGAGAAGTGAAGTAACAGCAAGTCACTTGAGGTAGTTTGTATAAGCCAGTTAGTGTTTATACCACCGGAGAGAGAAAAACAGTGTAGTGTGGGGTTAAAGAACTTGGATTTTAGAGTCAGACAGACCAAAGTTTGAACACTCGTTGAACCTTGGACGAAGTGACTTTATCTAAATTTGAGTTTTCTCATCTTTGAAATAGATATAATGGTAGCGACCTCATAAGGGTTTTTGGGAGGATTGGGTGAGAATAAGGTATGAAAAGCGCTTAGCGCAGAATGTGGCACATGTAAGTGCTTTTAGCTGGGGTCATCGGGAAAAACGTAAGAGGTAGGATATTAAGTCAAACATGAAAAGACTGAGTGAGCTTGAGAGGGGGTGACATGGCTGGGGGAAGTAATGACTAAGTGCCCTTCTTAAGACTTTAGATAGTTTGAAAGAGTTCTTAGACACATGAATAAATTGAGACGTGAAACATAAATTCAGTTTGACTGAAGTAACATTTGGAACTTGATGTTCTGTGTTTGTCTTGTACTCACTCTTTAATCAGACACAGCTGTAAGACCTGGCTTTTTTCTGTGGCATATAGGATTGTGTTTCAGGTGAAAATGGCTGTAATCATCTGAGCATCTGTGCATTAGGTGTCTGCTGTTAGGCAGGCCCAGGTGTTGAGGACACTGCAAATTAGATCCAGTCAGAGTCTTCAAGGAACCCTTTAGTGAGAGAGAAGGCAAGTACCTTACAGTGATGGGAGTGCTGTTCTTTGAACATATGCATGTCTATTTTGTGCCAAACATAGGCACCCTAGAGGTGAGTGGTGTACAAAACAAACAAAATTTTGCGGTTGTGGGCACCACTTTTAGTGAGGGTGATAAATAATATAGAAAGTTCAAAGGTAAGTGCTTTGGAAAATGGAGCAGGAAAAGTGGGATCCAGAATTTCTGAGGAAGATGTTGCAATTTAAAATGAGGTGGGCTGGGTGAGCCTTTTTGAGAGTGGTGTTTAAGGAAGGACTTAAAGGGAAGGGAGTTGGCCATGTTAATGGGGTGGGGGGGCATTCCATGTAGAGGGAATAGTTACTTCCAAGGCGCTGAGGCAGACCTAGTGAGTTCTGCCCAGTATGGCTAGAATGGAATGAACAAAAAAGAGTAATAGTAAATTGGGTCAGGGTGGAGTGTAGATTTCACAGGGCTTTGTAGAGCCTTTGTAAGAACTTTGCCCAGAGTTTTCAGCTGAGGAGTGACATAGTCTGCTTTGAGCTTCAGAAGGAGCACTCTGCAGAGAGGAACAACAGTAAAAGCACAGAAACTTGTAAGGAAGCTAGTAATCTAGGAGAGAGATGCTTGTGACTTGTACCAAGGTGGTAACAGGAGATGGTGAGAAATGGCTGAATTCTGGGTATATTTTGAAGATCAAACCAATATGATTTGTTGATAGATGGGATGTGGCATGTGAGAGACGAGCCAAGAATGATTCCAAGTTTTTTGGTCTGTGCACTTAGAAACATGCAGTTGCCATCAACTAAGATAGGGATGACTGTGAGAAGAGCAGGTCTGAAGAATAGATTAGGAGTTCAGTTTTAGACATGGTAAGTTTGAGATACCTGTGAGACATTCGGGTTGAAATGATATCCAAGTCTGGAGTTCAGGGGAAGGGTCTGGACTATAGATAAATTTTGTTGTCATTAACTTAGGTAGTATTCAAACCCAGGATACTGGATGAGATCACCAAGGGATCCCAGTATAGAGAGAAGGACCCAGGATTGGTCCTTTTAAATTGCAGTGTTAAGAGGATTGTTAGGGTTTTAACATGGATGGCATCCATAAATTTAGGGGGAAATTACCTCTTCACTAATCTCTAACTAGAAGTTAGCGTTTCTTTTAATTACTAATGTAACCAGCAAACTACAGTGATATTAACAGTACCTGTGGTTTTACTACTAGTACAAATTACAGATTTTTAAAAATATATTCTGGTTATTGTAGATATCTCAAAATATTATTTATGTTCATCATTACTTCAAAATTACGGTAGATATGAGATCTACTGCTAGATTGTTAAGAAACATATGTATAACTATATCATAGATTTGGGTTTTTTGTCCTCAGTGTAGTTGATTTCCTTTGTAATCATATGTATTTTATTTTATACATTTAAAAATATTAAGCTGAGAAAATGGTCCAAGGCACAAAAAAAAGTTAAGCCCCTGGGCTCTGAAGCTGTAACTCCGGGTTTAGAATCTCACCTCTTTTAGTTAATAGCTTTATGAACCTGGGTGAGTTTTCATAATGACTCTGTGCCTTGGTGTCCTTATTTCTAAAGTGGGGATCATAATAGTATTTTCTGCAAAGGGTTTATGAGGATTTAAGAATTAGGACAGTGTTAGCTCTTTTATTATTAGTGTTGGATGAAAAGATGCAGCTAGAAAACAAGGCGCCATGTTACGAAAACCACAGTGAATTTGGCAAAAATAAAGTTTAATTACTGGGAAAAAATATTTCAGCATGTTCAAATAAAGTATAAAGCAGTGAGGATAGTCAAATTCTCATAAT